CCTAGATCCGCACATCACCAAAGAGTGTCCCAAAGATGCCGTATCCCCGCCCGCGTGCGTCCTGTGTCAACAGACAGGCCACCCGGCGAGCTACAGAGGATGCCCGTGCGCTCCTCGCCCGCGCATAGCAAGACAGGCACCACCGCCGGTAAATGACCGTTCATTCCCGGCCTTATATGTTAGGAAGCCCCGTCAGGGCGTATCTCAGCCGTCTTAGGGCTTTGCACGACCCCCTCAGGGTCCCCCGAGACCACCGCAGGCACCGCTTAGGCCACCACCGGGCTTCTCCAAGCCTATGCAGGCTCCAGTTTTTGCCTGGGGCCCCAAAAAGGTAGATCCACCGCCACAGGTATTTTCTGCTCCGCAGCAGAAACAGTCGACAATTGGCGATGACTTTAACACGGTTTACGCCGCGATAAGGAACATCGACATTAACGAAATCTCGGTTTTAGCGAGTAAACTGCGCGCCGCCCGGTCCCCTCAGGACCGGCTTTTGGCTCTCGCAGAACACAGTAATTTATTGCGTTCGTTGTAAGCTAAGTTAACTTAATTAACTTAGCTTATAATGACAGAGCCTTCTGCTCTGCCTAGAAGTCACGGTCGTATCAAGCCCAAAGGGCTATCGCTTATTTCATTTAATATTCGCGGATTGCGTAATAATCTCCCAGAGCTTAAGCTCTTCCTTAAAGATCTCGAAGCTGATTTTCTCCTCTTACAGGAAACCAATCTTAAACACACAGACAATAAAGGCTTATCCATTAAAAATTATTCTCTTCTTCGTAATGATAGGCACGACCGCCGAGGCGGCGGCACGGCCATTTATTACAAGAAGACACTACATTGCTCTCTTATTGATACTCCACAGCTTACCAATATGGAAGCTACGTTATGCAGGATATCTATGACGGGACATCAGTCTTTAGTCATAGCCTCCTGTTACATTCCCCCTAAAAACCTCCCCCTCAAAGATGATTTTGAGGCAATCTTATCTCAAAGTAATTCAGTCATTATGTTTGGAGATTTCAACTCTAAACATACTGAATGGACATGCCGTACGATTAATACTAATGGTAGGATACTGCGTGATATAACGCAGTCTCTTGACTTAACCGTTTTCAGCCCGCTCGGTGCAACGCACTATCCCGATAATACCGATTATAATCCAGATGTACTAGATTTTGCGTTACTCAAAGGAGTTTCACTCAACCTCAGGTCTATTGAGACACTAGACGATATAGGATCCGATCACCGACCGGTCTCTCTTATTCTTGGCCATCAGCCACCCCCTATTATAACTACGAAAACCTTCACTAACTGGAAGGGTTTCAAGGACTCACTAGCAAAAGCTATGGACTCGCAGGACTCCCCTAATTACCTATCGTCGGACTTAGACTTAGACAGTCCTGTAAAAATCGACACCGCGGTCGAATCACTTTCAACCCTAATTAAATCCTCCCTTAAGGAGAATGAAAGGGTCGTTCCGGTTGCTAATACTAATGGGCTTCCCCTATATATTAGCAACATATTAAAAGCTAAAAAAGCTGCTTTCCGGAGAGCAGCTAAATATCCCACCCCCGAATATAGGCATACGGCTAATCGTCTTCAACGAAAACTCCGTTCGCACCTTTATGAATTTCGAGAGCTCCAAAGGAGTGAACTCATGGAGAATATATCTCCCTCACATACAGCGTACTATCAGATGGCTAGAGCCCTCCGTATAGACGCTACAACTCACACTCCCCCTCTCTCCCGCCCCGACGGTACGGTTGCCTTCGAGGACGACGAGAAGGCTGAGTGCTTTGCAGACAGCATTGCCGCACAATGCTCTCCTAGCTCTCAACCTGTCGACCCCTCACATATTCAGGAAGTGGAGGATGAGGTCCGCCGCCGGAACTCACCCCCCACAACCTCTGACCCTATCACTGTGTCCAATGATGAGATCTCGTCCCTCATCAAAGGACTTAAGCCCAAAAAATCTCCGGGCGCGGATGGCATATCCAACCAAGCCCTTAAATACTTTCCAGAGCAGGTGTTAACCCTCTTAGCTATTATCTTTAACGCCTGTTTTAATCTTAGTTACTTTCCCACTTCTTGGAAAGAGGCAATTGTCATTGGTATTCCCAAGCCAGGCAAGCCTCTTAACCTCCCCTCCAGTCATCGTCCCATTAGCCTCCTAAAGGCCATGGGCAAACTCTTTGAAAGAGTCATTCGAAATCGAATGAGGCGCCATCTGTTTCCCACAGACGGTGACCCCATTGTCATCCCACACCAATTTGGTTTCCGCGCAAAACACTCGTGTCCACAACAGGTACACCGCATTGTGGAATATATCCTCAGCGGTTTTTATCCACGTCGACTAAAGACAATCGCGGTCTTTTTCGACATTGCCAAAGCCTTCGACCGAGTCTGGCATGAAGGCCTTATTTTCAAATTATATAGGATAGGACTCTCCGATCGTCTAGTACGTCTCGTAGCCTCTTATTTACAACATCGTACCTTTCGTTTTAGACACGAAGGCACGTTATCCTCTCAGCGCCCCATTAAAGCTGGTGTTCCTCAAGGATCAGTACTAGCTCCCCTCCTGTACATCTTGTACACCAACGACATTCCTATCCCGTCGAATGGTGTACAGCTCTCACTCTTCGCAGATGACACTGCACTATACTTCAAAAGTCCTAGAATATCTTCAGCAAGGAACAAGATCCAAAAGTCAGTCGATGACCTAGGAGACTGGTTCCAAAAATGGCGTATCGATGTGAACCCGGAGAAGAGCTCCGCAGTTCAATTCGATATTAAAAGACGCCGTAATAAAAACAAGAAAAATACTCCACCTATACGAATGCTAGGGACCCCTGTCCCATGGCACATGTCAGCAAAATATTTAGGCGTCACCCTTGACTATAGGCTTACTTTTGAGTCTCATGTCAAAAGAGTAACGCGTCTAGCACGTTTCTATTTAGGTCGGCTTAACAGTATGTTAGGCAGACATAGCAAAATGTCATTACGAAATAAGCGAACCCTCTATAAGGTTTGTATACGACCGGTTATGACTTACTCGGCTCCTATTTTTGCACACGCTAACGATAAAATTATTAACGAACTCCAAGTAGTTCAAAACCTCTTCTGTCGTCGAGCTACGAACGCACCTTGGTACGTCCGTAATGCCGACCTTCACCGGGATTTAGAAATCCCAACAATCCAGCAATGTCTTAAAAAATTCTCTGAAAACTTCTTTAAAGTATCAGAGTCGCATACTAACACACTTATTCGTGAGGCAGTTACTTATACCGCCCCACTCCCTTCTCGCTATAGCGTCCGCAGGCCGAGAAACACTCTCTTGGACCCGCCAAATAAGTTGTCAAACGACCTGAACTGCCTCCTGGCGGCTCAGGCCAATCCTAATTAAATTAAAAACTAGTTAAAATTAATAATATGCCTTCGTAGGCAGTCCCTAAACGGCACTTAGCCGTCTGCGCCCTCTTTTCCCAAAAGAGGGTCGCTTTAGATACGGCATATGCAGCTTTAATAGAGCTAGTTGCCAGTCCCCAAAGGCGGTTTTTAGTGGGTATCACTTAGGTCCCCCGGTAGGCAGTGAGTCCCACATAACCAGGACAGACCGGCTGTCGTGGTATGCATAATGCATTTTCCGCCTCCCTCAGTGGTAGCCCTTTTCCAATTGCTTCGGGCGCAAAAAAAAAAAAAAAAAAAAAAGACGATCGTTGTTCATTCGGGTTCATTCGGTTTCATTCGGAAGCGGCACTCGAGAAGACAAGGAAGAATCAAGACAGAAGACTCCATACTGAAGACCTCCCTTTTGTATAGTGATTAGTTAATAGTGCCGAACCTTTGTAAATAGTGAATATAGTATAATTAAAAGTACCATCTTTTCTTCGAGCAGTCCCCTAGTATAGCTAACCTCACACCGCCAGTTAAAATACCAAATACAGTCCACTACTCTCCATCCATTTTATCTTGGTCCATCGTCGCCGGATAGCAGCCAGAAGAAGGAAGAAAGAAGAAAGAAGTAAGAAGAAACAAGAAAGAAGGTAATTATAGAAGAAGGAACATAATTACAGAAGAGAGAAGATTATTATAGAAGATCTTCAAGGAAGAAAGAAGTTCGTCGACGAAGAGAGAAGATCGTCGGTAATAATTTCTTCCCTGTTTCTTGTTACGCCTACGTCATACGCGTCTATTGTCTGTTTCCAGACAATTTCTTGTTTCTTAACCGCGTTTACGCGGCCAGTGGTCACTCCCTAACGGTGCCAAACTGTGACCATCTGGTAACGCCCTTGTGGCGGGAACGACATCCATACGTGTGTCTTTTTAAAGACTGTACGTACGTCTTTTTGAAGACGACCGGAGGTCGCAACGTGGGACCATGAGGAAGACACGAAGCCAGAAGACACGGAACGATGATGACACGCCGGTAGGAATGCGCATATTCGAAGAAGCACCCGCGTCCCCGTCCGATTATCTCGCGATGGCACAAGCGCCCTCCGCCGCGCCCGCGCTCCAGGCCCCGCCCGCGCCCGCATCGACGCCCGCGCCCGCGCCCCCGCCGCCGCGCCCCGCTATGTCCGTGTCCACGACCGATCGTTTGGGAGAGGTTAGCATTTCCGCGCCGCGTACAGAGACACTCGCCGCGATTATAGAAGATCTTCCGTCTACAGAGATTAGTTCGATAGTACGTACCGTCGCGCCTGTAACAGACGTACATAGGCCCGCGCCCCGCGCCCCGTCGGTTCGCTCCGCTCGTTCAGCCCGATCGACGGCTAGTGCGATAGCTAAATTAAAGCAAATTGAATATAACGCCGCGGAGGAACTAGCTGCAATTAGGAGGAAGCAATTGCAGTTGGAAGAAGATCTTATTAGGAAGAAGTACGCTAGGGACGTCGCGCAACTTGCCTATTTTTAACGGTTCGGCCGCGGAATGGCTAGCGTTCAAAGCCGCGATGAAAGAATCCACGCGTCTATATGGATTCACAGATACGGAAAATATGGCAAGGTTAAGAAATTGCTTACGCGGTGAAGCTAGGGAAGTAGTATCGGCACTGCTGTTTACCGCGAAGGATCCAGCAGATATTATGCGAACATTAGAGCAGTGTTTCGGCCGCCCAGAAGTAATTATCGATCGCGCGTTAGAAGAATTGAAACGCCTTCCGCGCCCGGGTCAAACTGCACAGGAGCTAAATGCGTTCGCAATAAAGTTGCAAAATATCGTGTGCATTTTGCAAAACGTCGACGGCAAGGGATATCTGCAAAATCCAATGCTTACTAGGGAGGTAACGAGTAAGTTAAGCCCTCATTTACGGTCGCGTTGGTGTGATTATGCGGAGCACTACGGGAGTGCAGACGAGCCGGACATCGTTACACTGTCCAGGTTCATGATGAGAGAGGCTGATCGTGCGTTGAGTCATGCCTATACGTCCGTAGAGCCGACTAAGGAATCGCCCGTAAGACGAGAGGCGCCGCCGTCGAAGAGGATAGTGACACGCCGCGTAGAGAATAGGGCTCGCGACGTAAAAACGTTCACCGCACAGGAGGACACCGGTAGTGCCTCTTGTATGTGCTGCGGAGGTGAACACGCGATCGCAAAGTGTAAAAAGTTAGCGCAAATGGGTGTGGACGACCGGTGGAATTGGGTAAAAGGAAACGGGGTATGTTTTCTATGTTTAAACAGTAAACACCGACGGTTTAAATGTAAAGCAAAGAAATGCGGCATCGACGGCTGCAACGCCCCCCACCACGCCCTCCTTCACACCCGCAAGACCCGCGTACCTGAGACATCGGCCAAACCGGATGAGACCGTACTCGTCGCGTCTAACGTCGGTAGGAATGCATCCGTATTGTTGAAAGTGTGTCCCATTACGTTACGTGGACCACACGGTAAGGAAATAGACACGTACGCGTTGCTCGACGAAGGTTCGACTATTTCGTTGATCGATGACGACTTAGCGCGTGAGTTAGGAGCGGAAGGACCGGTAAAGCCGCTGAATATTAGGGGAATAAGCAATAGTCAGCGCGAGGCCGATAGCAGGCTAGTCAACATAGGCATACGTGGAAAATCGCGCAGCGAGATGTATAGAATAAATGCGCGTACAGTAACGAATTTACAGATAGGTTCGCAGTCGGTAAATAAAGAGTGTTTACGTCTAAAGCATTTACGCGACCTACCGAGCTCGGTTTGCTATGAGGACGCCAAACCGAGATTATTATTAGGAGCCGACAATTGGCATTTAATAATCACCCGTAACTTGAGGATAGGGCGTCGAAGGCAGCCTATAGCTGCACGTACGCTATTAGGATGGGTGATACAGGGAACCGTGCCGCGATTCACGTGTAGGGAGGACGGTGAAACCGTGTTACACGTCGTAAGCAGTAGCGGACGGATAGATAGGGACATCCGAACGTTCGCGAGTCAAGACGAGGAGATAACGGAACTCCTCAAACGGCAGTACGAGATCGATTCCATCGGTATCTCGCTAAGGAATAGGCCGCGACGGGAAGAGGAACGCGCTGTCGAGATATTCCAGCGCACCGTCAAGAAGGTCGGCGATCAATACCAGGTGGGACTGCCATGGAAGGACGACGACGTGCGGATGCCTCCTAGCTACGAGATGGCTGCTAGAAGACTGCGGACGATCGAGAGGAAAATAGACAAATCGCCGGAATTTCGAGACGCCTATACCGCGCAAATAGATAACCTCCTGGCGAAGGGATACGCAAGGGAAGCCGAGGGGACAGAGAGAGAGGACCCTAGGAGCTGGTACCTGCCCCACTTCGCAGTACGAAACCCGAACAAGCCTGGGAAGACGAGAGTGGTTTTCGACGCGGCAGCGCGTGCGTCCGGTAAATGTTTGAACGATTATTTGCTTGACGGCCCCGACTTGTTACGGAACCTACCGGGCATACTGTTCAGATTTAGGGAGAACGAAATAGCCGTGTCAGCGGACATTAGGGAAATGTTTTTACGCGTTAAGATTGACCGTCGCGACCAGCCCGCGCAATTATTTCTGTGGCGAGGTAACGAGCGATCCAGCCCACCGCGGGAATACGTTATGACTTCAATGATTTTCGGTGCGAGGAGCTCGCCGTTTCTCGCACATAGCGTTAGGGATCATAACGCGCGCGCACACGCTGAGACACATCCGTTGGCACTTAACGCTATCGTACGTAGTCACTAAATGGATGACTACCTAGACAGTTATGCTACGGTAGAGGAAGCGGTAAACACTGCGAGGCAGGTTACGGAAGTCCACCAGCAGGCCGGCTTCACCTTAGCGGGCTGGAATTCGAACCACGCAGCCCTACTAGAAGACAAGCCGGAGGAATTATTAGCGAGCAAGCCTAAGGAGGTAGGCTTGAGACAAGACAGCCCAGGCAGAACCCTAGGGCTATTATGGATGGCCAATGAAGACGCCTTAACGTTCAACACATCCATGAACCGGGTACCGAACGAGGTGAAGACGCTGCAGAGGCCACCGACCAAGAGAGAGGCGTTGAGTGCAGTCATGTCGGTCTTCGACCCGCTTGGACTGCTGAGCTACCTCACCATCACCGCCAAGATCCTGCTGCAAGACCTGTGGCGGATGAAGAAGGTCGGATGGGACGACGAACTACCCGAGGAGGCAGCTGAGGAATTCCAGAGGTGGCTGCGAGTCGTCGAGGAAGTATCACGACTGCGGCTGCCTAGGTGCTATGCTCCTACGGGGGGAGTGGTAGAGCGTCAGCTCCACGTGTTCAGCGACGCAAGCGAACGTGCGTACGCATCCGCGGCGTATTGGCGATTACGATACCGCGACGGAACGGTTAAGGTACGATTAGTGGCGGCCAAGGCGAAAGTCGCCCCGATAAAGGCGCAAAGCATACCACGGTTAGAATTGCAGGCGAATCTGATAGGCGCGCGACTCGCGGAATTCGTGCAAGGCGAGCACAGAGTGGTAGCCGATAGGGTAGTTTATTGGACAGACTCCACTACGGCGCTCCATTGGATTCAAAACGATACGGCGCGTTACACCCCATACGTAGCACATAGATTAGGGGAGATATCGGAGAAGACGTCACCCGAGCAATGGAGGTGGATACCGACCGCAGACAACATCGCGGATCAGGCAACGCGCATTAATTATACGTACAAGGAAGAGAGCGACAAATGGTTTACGGGACCGCCATTCCTGTACGAAGAGGAAGATCGATGGCCTCGACGACGGGAAGAGAAGGCAGGGGATGAAGATGACGAGATGGAGGAAGTCGTGGCGCACCAGAGCGACACCAGGGGCGCTCCACACCTGCCAGACATCGAGAGGTTCTCTTCTTACGAGAGATTAGTCAGGGCCACCGCTCGGATATTACAGTTCGTCGATGCCATGAGAGGAAAGGCGCACGGACTAACATTGGACCACATCCATAAAGCAGAGCGGATGTGGATAGAGCGAAGCCAACAAGAGAGTTTTGCTGAAGACATCGGTCGACTGCAGAAAGGAAGGAACTTGGCAACCGGCAGCGCGTTAAGAAAGCTCGACCCCATATTCGAAGATGGCGTACTGCGAGCTAGAGGACGGATTGACGCAGCCAATGTGAACAGCCAAATGAAGAGGCCCATCATCCTGAACGGACGCCACCAGTTTGTAAAGCTGCTTGTGGAGAAGGCGCATAAGGAAGCAAGCCACGCCAACAGGGAACGGGTAGTGAACGACCTACGCACAAGATATCACATACTTCGACTACGACCGACCGTACGAGAAGTGGAGCGGAGATGTCTGCGGTGCAGGGTACGCAAGGCGACACCACGGCCAGCGGTTATCGGAGATCTACCACCTGAACGGTTAGGGGCATTCGCGCGACCATTCACCTACACCGGAATCGACTATTTCGGGCCTATAACGGTAACAATAGGACGTAGGCATGAAAAACGGTGGATAGCGTTATTCACTTGTTTGACGACGCGCGCGGTACATTTAGAGATAGTTTATTCCCTAACGACGGACTCGGCGATATCGGCATTGCGGCGCATGGCGGCTAGGCGTGGGTGGCCACGGGTCATCTACTCGGATAACGGGACAAACTTTCATGGGGCGGACACCGAATTACGACGGGCGATGGAAGAGTGGGCACCCCTGCTGAAGGACTACGCGTTGACTCGGCGGACGGATTGGAAGTTCATCGCGCCGGGTGCACCGAACCAGGGAGGCGCATGGGAGCGTCTCGTGCGCTCGGTGAAGACCGCGCTCGAAGCCACACTCAATCAGAAGAGCCCACGGGAGGAGACATTAGCGACGCTCCTCACAGAAGCCGAAAACACCGTTAACTCTCGACCGTTGACGCACGTACCGGTCGACATCGACGAAGAAGAGGCATTGACACCCAACCACTTCTTGCTGCTGGGACCATCGAGCCTTCCAGTGACCGCGCCGTGCACGCCAAATGATCGTCGGGCGTGGAGAGCGGCGCAGGGACTTGCCGACGAGTACTGGAAGCGCTGGGTGAAGGAGTACCTGCCGACGCTGGTTGCGCGCGGAGACTCAAGGGACGTGCAGCAGCGCCCGGTACAAGAAGGAGACCTCGTCGTGGTGGCAGACGGGACCATGCCGAGGAACGTGTGGCCAAGAGGAGTTATAACGAGGACCTTTCCCGGACCAGACGGCGTGGTACGGAACGTTGAAGTGAAGACCAGGGGCGGATTGCTGCGGCGGCCGGTCAGGAGGATCGCCGTCCTCCCGAGTGCAGCCTAGGCTCGCAAGGCTACGCCGGGGGGAGAATGTTACGGACAGCGAGAGACCCGCCGCCCCGTCGCCCCTTCGTTCCCCGTTACGTCCCGCGCACCCCGCACGCCGGCGCTGATCACGCGATATCGGGCAACCAATCAGCGCGCGTGCGGCGAAAGTTGCCATCGGGCGGCTAACCCGACGAAATGAAGCGCTCTTCTCGGAAATATAAGAAGGGCGCCTCGGACGATCGTTGTTCATTCGGGTTCATTCGGTTTCATTCGGAAGCGGCACTCGAGAAGACAAGGAAGAATCAAGACAGAAGACTCCATACTGAAGACCTCCCTTTTGTATAGTGATTAGTTAATAGTGCCGAACCTTTGTAAATAGTGAATATAGTATAATTAAAAGTACCATCTTTTCTTCGAGCAGTCCCCTAGTATAGCTAACCTCACACCGCCAGTTAAAATACCAAATACAGTCCACTACTCTCCATCCATTTTAAATATTATCTGTACTTTATATACACCTCGTTCACCCCGCGACATTATTTCATGGCGGGCTTTGAGTATTAAAATTAATGGGGGATTAACTAATTTCTTTTTTTTTTTTTTTTTTAATAGTATGCGGATTGACCTCAGGATTCATTGGATGGAGAGTCTAGCCATTGGCGCAGGACAAAATCGTATTACCTTATACGTAGTAACTAATTAGATACCTTTCTATATTCTAATATATAAATATTTTTTTTTTTTGTTTGTTCGTATATAATGCGCTACCATACCGTTCATCAGATTGCGCTAAAACTTAGTCAACTTATTGCTAACTAATAAACTTACAATAGATGGCGCGCGTATCGAACTGACAAATTTATTTATTATTATATAGAAACTACCTCTTCCAATTTTAAACGATATTTCGACAAATTTTTTTTTTTTTTTTTTCCGGGTACCATCTACAGCAACACGAAACATCCAATTCCCCCCCCCCCCCCCCCGCCATCGTCTTATTATTTGCCCGCCATTTTATACTTCCCCGCACCCTCGCCTCAGCCGTCTCAGTCGTCTGGGTGACTTTATATAAACGGGAAAAAAGTTAGTGCGGTCTATCTGTCGTCGTGCGTTCGTAACGTACGTTAAGTCTCTATATATATTATTTCGTGTGTTGTCTTTCTTCTCTAAGCGAAAATGACCGGTCGCGGTAAAGGTGGTAAAGGTTTGGGGAAAGGTGGAGCGAAGCGGCACAGAAAAGTTCTTCGTGATAACATCCAGGGTATCACCAAACCGGCTATCAGACGTCTCGCACGCAGGGGCGGTGTGAAACGTATCTCCGGGTTAATCTACGAAGAGACACGCGGTGTACTCAAGGTGTTCCTTGAGAACGTGATTCGTGACGCTGTTACATACACCGAGCATGCGAAGAGGAAAACCGTCACCGCCATGGATGTCGTCTACGCCCTGAAACGTCAAGGACGTACCCTCTACGGATTCGGTGGTTAATTTCTTATACGCGATGGAGACGTCGTCCACCGCCACGTACTACGGCTCTCTGTCCGCTCTAAGTTCGTCTATAGTACACCATATGCGCAGTGTGTATTTGCTACTTGGTATGCGGGACTCTGAGAGTTAAGTTACGTGATGAGACGATTTTTCTAATCGTATAAGTTAATAAAAAAAAAAAGGCCCTTTTCAGGGCCGCAAAACTATCGATATACCTTGTATTTGTTTCGTAGAGTATCGTCAAATGATATGTGCAAGCATGTATTTTGTTGTATGGATATGTGTATAAATGGCATGATTATGTATATAAGTGCGAATGTATGTGTGTTTATGATCATGTATGTAAGTGCATATTAGAATTAGATGTGTCTGTCTACAAAGTTATGTTATTTAAAAGCTGTAAAGGCATCACATAATATTTATATATACCAATTAAACGCGGAGAACAAAATTAGGTTTTTTTTTTTTTTTTTTTTTTTTAATTCGAAATAATTTCGAAAAACTGATCTGAATGAAAGAAACGACAATTCATGTATGCACACACACGTTTAAATGACTATACTCTTCTTAAATTTGACGATACCTACTAAACAAGTGTAAGATATCGCCATATTGAAATAATGGTTCGAACGTCTTAGGAATATATTATCATAATTCCGAATTGTATTTTTTTTTCTCTTATTTATCTCCCTTATTATTTAATATATACATAATAATATGATATACTATATTTTAATAATATCACTCTTCATTTTTTTTTTTTTTTTAAATACTTAACGCTTTATAAACATACGTTGCTCTGAAGCGTGACTGCCCAGCCCAGCTTTTGTACGTATTTTGAAGAAGTATGGGAACGTGTTGCAACATTCTAGAAATAATGATGATTTATAATAATTATTTCAGATTACAGTGGACAAATTTTAAAATATTATAGACTATTTTCAAAGATCCTACGCTTTGTATAGGGACTTCGGTCTGTGAGCCTCGAGACCTCTTCGTGTTTTACGACCTTCGACGTATAATAGGTCGTTGCATTACGAATAATGCATTACCGGCGTGACCTCTGCCTTCTGTCTAACCTCAGGATATTAACTTTCAATAGACCGATTTAAATTTAACTAAACTAATGAGCAAATAGAGAAAAATCATTTTAAAAGGCGGCTCATGGTACGCTCAGAATATAGTGAACAAAATAAACATCCATTGCTCGTTTCTCGATCGCTTATATACGTAACGGGTTTGTCTGTTACGTGCACAATCTCAAATATATACCGTATTAACTTTCTGAATACGATAATATTTATATATCACGGTAAAAATTAAATTTACGTTTACGGTAAAAAAACGCAGGAAGAAAACGACAAAAAGGAGAAAGAAAAGGCACGCTATCCTCCTATAGTCGCCGAGTGCCTCCCGAACTGGACGAAACATTTCGAAGAACTTAACAAGAAGTTAGGACATCCGCCGAATGCTCGTCCGTTCGGGAAAGGTGTTAGATTTACACCACAAAGTCCGGAAGAGTTCCGGACTATACAAAAATACTTGATCCAATTAACAGAAGAGCAACCATCAATGTCGTGGTACTGTTACACCCCCGAGGAAGACAAGCCCACAAAAGTGGGCATCCGGGGGCTACCAGTGGGCACAGATGCAACCCATATAGGCGAGGCTATTAGGGCAAAGGGATTTCCACTTAAGTATGTGAAAGAAATCCCCCCTCGTAGAGGCAGACCTGGATGCCTCTACTTCGCCCAGCTGGACCACCTGAGCCTGGAGCAGCTCAAAGAATTGTATGCAATCGACGAACTACTATTTATGAAAGGAATAACCATAGAAGCCTGGCAGAGAAGAGTAGGCCCAGCACAGTGCCACCGCTGCCAGGCCTTCGGTCACGCGTCCGCAAACTGCTTCAGGCCAGTGAAGTGCGTCCGCTGTGGAGATAACCACATCGCCAGCAACTGCCCTAGGGGTAGAGATGAAGAGCCAAGATGCGCAAATTGCGGTCAAAACCATACGGCAAATGACCGCCGCTGTCCGGTTCTGAGGAAAATAGCAAGAAAACAAGGGATCACCCTACCGGGACTACAACCGGAAGCCCCTAGGGGGGTCCTCCACCTCCCATGGCCCCACCAACCTTACGGTTATACGGGCCGAATCTCGAGAGATGCACGCGGTACTTGCTCAGGGCTCTTTCCCGCATGCACTTTCTTGACTCTCTACAAGTTATTTAATCTACTCCTTGTCCCGTAGTGTCACTCTCCCTTTCTGGGCTGGACGAACACGTTACGCCTTCGGTTCCGGGCAGAATCCTTACTTCGTTCCTCTCCGTCGCAATTCTCCGCGCATGCCAACCATGCGCAAACTCCCGCAGCCGGCCAAAGCTCTCCTTACCGTCCACGAGGTCCGGGTAGTAAACCGGACCCACCCCTCTGCGTACCATTCCGTCCATCATCTTACATCTCAGGTCATCATACAATTCGCACTCCCATAGCACGTGATGCCTATCCTCATAGGCAGCACCGCAATCACACATACCAGATTCAACCAATTTCATGTCATGCAGTCTCTTTCGAAAACATCCATGCCCACTGAGTATCTGCGAGACTTGATAGTCCGGCACGACCCAATTCGCATTGAGCCGCGCCGACACGTCCGGGAAGAAGCAGAATAACTCTCTTCCATTCGTCTCGTTCATCCATCGTTCCTGCCATACATCCATAACTTCAACCCAGATTTCGCGCTTACGCCTGCTCAACTCCCCATTCTCAACGTTTCTACGCGCCTGGTCAATCCTACCAACACGAGTTACCTCCAGATCGGCCGGCAGGACGCCGGCTAATACCGGGAGCGCCGCAGTACTTATCGTCCTGTACCCCTTTGTCAACAGCACGAGCGAAGATCTCTGCGATCTCAGCAGTGCCGTTCGCACTGTATAGTTCCCCACCCGATCAACCCAAACGGCTGCAGCATATGTCACTATTGGAACATATGTACCCTTATATAGAACACGGAGTGCGGGGTAGCGTATGCCCCAAGAAGATGCCGACACCCGCGACATCTTCCCAAAGCATCGCCCAGCCCTCTCTCCCATATCTTTGGCGTGCTGAATAAAGAACAGACTCGTGTCTAACGTGACACCCAATACCTTGGTCGACGTTACGCTTTTAACTGACTCAGTCCCCATCCTTATAACAGGTGGTCGCTGGAACTTGCCTTTAATGGTCATGGTACATGACTTCGCGGAGGAGAAGGATAACCGATTCCTCTCTCCCCACGATGATACCAACTCCAGTGCAGATTTGGCCGCTCTCTCTATTTCAGCTCTAGAGTTCGCCTCTATCAAAAGTGTCACGTCGTCTGCATACGCCAACATTTTCGTCCCTAAGGGGAACGGCAGCCTCAACAAATCATCCAGCAGTAAATTCCACAAGGTCGGTCCAAGGACCGATCCCTGCGGGCAACCCATGGTCGAGCGTTTCCATTCGGCACAGTCACCCACGAATATACCCACTCGCCTGTTGGTGAAATAGTCCACCAACATGCGGTAGATATTAGGTGGAATCCCTCCTTGTTTTGCCTTCAGCAGTATCATTGGCCACCATGCATTATCAAATGCTCCTGATATGTCCAAAAAGACGGCTTGTACATACTTGCGCTGCGACTCGCGCGCAGTACTAAGCACGTCTTGCAGCGCCGTTACCGTGGACCGACCCGGCGAAAACCCGTGCTGGTATTCCGATATGCCCCTCACCAAGCTCGGAGCACACCGCAGCAGAACTCGCTCCAGCAACTTCCCAAAGATGGGGAGGAGCGTAATCGGGCGGTAGGCCTTGGGATCTGTTAATGGCCTATCATTACCTTTCGGAATAACTATCAGCCGTCCTTTCTTCCATACTTCGGGGAAAACCCCCTCTTCCACACATTTGGCATACACCCAGTGGAATTCCCTAGGTGCAGCTCTCCACACATTCTTAACAATTTTGGCACCAATCCCGTCCAGTCCCGGAGCAGTGTTGGGCAACGCCCTGACTATACCCCCCAAACACCCAATGGTTGGGGGAACGGCAGCCGATCCAGATGGGGTGAAGGCGGCCATGAGACGCACCCGCCCATGAAACTCAGTGTCCTTGGACGAATCATCGTCCGGACACAGAGCCCCGAGCAGGCCCCGCACGGCCTCCCTCACCCCCCCCGAATGTCGCTCCGCGTACTCAATGGCATTAATGATATTACTGGGAGGACGATATCTCCCGCTAGAGATCTGATATGCACGTCCCCATGGGTCAGCATTTCCCATCTCCGAGATTTTTCTAAAATGGGCCAATTCCGTATCCCCCATCAACTGTCTATATCGCGCTCTCACACTATGGAATCGTTCCATAGCTAATTCCTCAGACCTGCCTCCTTTTCTTCTAGTCTTTTGCCATGCCCTTCTCGCATCACATACTTTTTTCCTCATTCTGTCAAGTTCAGGCGTCCACCACTCATAGCCGACCTCCCGTCTAGGGCGAGCACTCCCCAGGACATCTTCCGCAGATCGAACCACAATGTCAGTGAACTGCACACAAAGACGATCAGCCGGCTGCCTTACTTTCAATGCGCCCATTCGTACATGAATAGTTCCACGAAAGAAGCCCCAGTTCACCCCCCGGTCCCGAAAACGGGCAGGGACCTCCACCGGCCCCGGGAGCCTCGCATGTGGTTCTCCTCCAACTTTGTATATTATGAGCCGATGGTCGCTCGAGCTGACGCAGTCCAGGACTCGCCACCCTGTGATCGAGACTCCTCTGGAGGAAAGAGTGACATCTATATTGGACTCACCCATTGCACCCGAAAAGGTGCTCGGTTGGCCTTCCACGTTGACTATCACCAATCCCCGCGACGTTATAAAATCCTCCATGGCAGTACGACGGTAAGCAGCTTCATGGCCCCTACCTACGATCTGTTCAGCCTCACTGAACCAGAGTGGCGAGTGCGCGTTGCAATCCACTCCAATTACA